AGGAACTGGCAGAGAAAGGAGAGAGAGAAGAAGCAGAGAGCAGGAGGGAGAAGGGAGAGGGCAGACAGCAGCGAGAACAGACAGCAGAGAGCAGACGGCAGACAGCAAAGAGAACAGGAAGCAGAAGCAAGGGCAGAAGCTAGAGGGCATAGCCCGACAGCAAGGCAACTTGAAAAGCCTCTCGATTGTATTCATTCATTTCTTCACCCGAAGTTTCCGCGTATTTGCTCGTGTCCCACGACCCCCGCGGAGGGCAGGAATCCCCGCAATTGAGCAATTCGCTGTCCTGCCTCTAGAGGGACGATGGTCTGTTCTGTCTTTGCCAGAATCTTTAATTCTCCAGTGTAATCTGAATCTATAACTCCAGGAGTTAGAATGAACCCTGAAAGTGCACTACTACTTCTGCCCAATATCAACCGGAAATGCTTTTCTGGCAGAGGTCCCCATATCCCTGTGGGCATCGCTTGTATTCCCATTTCCGGGGTGGAGGAACTGAGGTCCAATCCGGCACTCCCTGCGGTGGCTCGTTGGAGGTCAGTGACCCGCCGCTGAAGGGATTGGTCGCGGCAAAGATCCCCCTGTTTTGGTACGGGGCCCGGGGTCGGCCCCTCTGGCGGTTTCCCGACACTGGCTGTCCGCCCTTGTAGGTCTGAGATTTACATTCGGAGGCCCAATGTTTACCTCTTTTACACCGGGGACAAAGCCCGGGGCCCTGTCTCTTCCCGTCACTTTCCTTTGTCTGCACTCTCTGGCTAGGTGTCCCGGCTTCCCACAGTTAAAGCACTTCCCGGGACTTTTCATGGCAGCAAACATCTCAGGGACTTTAAGTCCCTGAAGCGCTGTGGCCATAGCCAATCCTTGATTATATGAGGGCCCAATATCTGCACATAGGCGAATATAGTCATCTAGCGACCCCTTGTGTCTAAACACTCTAAGGACAGTCTGACAGGCACTGTTGGCAATCTCAAAGGCGAGTTGTTTTACTAAAATCATGGAATCTGGGGAATCTCCCAAAATCCTTCCCACAGCTAAGAGCAGTCTGGACACAAAATCTTGGAAGGTTTCATCAGGACCTTGTCTGATTTTAGAGAGCTCAGTGGTCTGTTTTCCTGTATTAGGGATGGACCTCCATGCCTTCCTAGCACACTGATTAATTTGAGCATACACTGGCATTTCATACTAGATCTCCTACAAGCATCTCATAAGTACCGCGCCTCCCTTGCTCTTGATTAATGTTTGCTATGCGGTGAGCCTCTTCATAGTATTCAGATTTCCAGTGTAGGAAGTCCCCTTCTGTAAGACAGGCTCAGGCTAGGTTTTTCCAATCTACTGGCGGAAGGGCTTCAGAACACAGACCCTCAATGAGGGCTTGAGTAAAAGGAGCATTAGGACCATACTAAGTACATGTCATTTTAAGTTCCTTCAGTCTCTTGAAAGGCAAGGAATAGTACATACGATTTTCTAACTGCTCTCCATTGGGGCCTTGCCCAGCAGGGGTGTTTGTAATAGGATACAATTGGAAATCAGAAACGTCATCCCCGGCTTGCGTGCCTGTGGCGACAGCAGCCTGCACGGGAGTGCATTTAGAAGGGGATGACACTTGTACTGTTACAGGGGCTGCAGTAGGCTCTAGCCCCTCAGTTCTGCTTGGCACGGTTTGTGTATTAAATGCCATTTACTGGGTCTCATCTGATTTACTGATCTTTTCTATCTTTAAAGCTAAATCTTGCAGTATCCTTGTAAGTTGTAACATCTGATCATTTCCTTCCTTCCTTGACGTTAGAGGGTCACCGCACTGGGTACTAGCCTCCTGGCAAATGGGGTAAGCTTGGGGCAACGGAGCTGTAGGGGCTGCAGGCCAGGGTGGAACCTCCTCTTCATCTTCAGAATCTTTCTCTTTTCCTTCTGTAAGGTCTAAAAATGGAGCTTTTTCTGACTTAAAAGGCTCTAAATTAGGATATAGCTTAGCCTGGGAATCAGGGTTGCTCTGAGGTTTCCCAGGCGCGGCTTCCTGTTTTTGCTCCAAGGATTTTTCAGGGCTGGTAAGTTCGCTGCCGAAATTGAAAGTGTCTCGAATGAGTCTCCACAGGCTGAAGGTATCAGCAGGCACTCTAGCGGGACCCTTTTTTGCATAGTATTCTTGTAAGTCATGCCCAATTTGGTTCCATAATTTTACATCTATGATCCCATCCTCAGGGAACCAGGGACATACCATATTTACAAAATCTATGAATTTACACAGCTGACTATAATCTACTTTCAATCCTCTGGCTCGGAGCATTTCTATAATCATATGTACATACCGAGCCTTCCCGGGTTTGTTTCCCATGTCTCCTCAGGAAAAATTGCCCCCACTGCTTACTTTTTCCACGGTATCTTCTTCGGGGGTCCTCCGCTTTCCCCTCATATTTGGGCCCCACGTTGGGGCACCACTTGTTGGAGGTACCCGAGGGAGGGGCGTGGATGAAGAAAAATATGTACAAAAGTAAAGAACTGAGGAGAGAACACAAGCTGATGGCGAGTGACGAAGTTTATTTCAAATCTCCGAGTTTCTATAGGGTGGTTCTGCAAGTCATTGTCGTTTTGTATAGTTACAAGTTTATCTTTTGCTGTGAATCACGCGAACCTGGGAAAGCTACTTTCCCTGCATGTTTATCTTTTACTGTGAATCATGTGATCCTGGGAAGGCTACTTCCCCTGTGTTGATAAGCAGACTTTGTCTGGTTAGACCCAGACTTCAAGTTTTATGAGGCCTGTAAGCCTTTTGGCCCCCAACACTGACAGGTGCGGTCTTGGTAGGTGGAGGCCCACTCAGCAGCTCATGTGAACCAGGAGGCGATGCTGAGCACAGTCTGGTACCTGTTCTCCTGCTGAAGCTTCCAGCAGGCCTTGCAGTAGGACAGGGCCCAGGAGAAGACACAGGGCCGCAGCGTCTCACGCCAGCGGAAGTGCCTCAGGTAGGCGGCCTGGTCCTTGTCCAGCGCTTGCAGGTGCTGGGCCAGGGCCTGGGCACTGGGGAAGTCATCCACGTGGATGAAGGCGTCGGGTGGTAGGAAGCGCTCGTAGTTGGTCCTGCTGGGGCCCAACACCACAGGCACAGCCCAGGCTTCCAGCGCATTCCTCCAGAGCTTCTCTGTGATGTAGTCCGTGTGCAGAGAGTTCTCAAAAGCCAGGTAGAATTTGTACTGCGACAAACACTCCATCATGACCCGGGAGGGCAGCAGCTTGTGGGAACGCCCGTACACGTCCACCTGGAGGTGGGGCTGGAGCTGCTGGTAGTAGCGCACCCGGGCGGAGTTCACTTGCCAGTTGGACACTGCCCAGGCCACCAGCTTGGTCTTGGCTGAGAGGTGGGCCAATGTATCGGCGGGCTGGCCGGACCAGGGCTCAAGCCAGCCATAAGGTGTGAAGATGTCCGAGTCTCTGCGGTAGGACATGGTCAGACTGAAGTAGCCATCTAGGGCCTTTGGCTGCTGGCAGTTGGTGGGGGACTCCAAGCTAAACCAGACCCAGCGCTGGCTTGGTGGTCGTGGGGAACAGGGGAGCAGCTCCTGAGGCCTGTAGCTGACTTCATGATGATGCACTATGACTGCGTCTGCCTTCTGGTACATTCTGCGGTCAGCAGTTGGCCACGCCGGGCCACAGCTTCGAGCAGGGGAACAAATTCACCGGGTTCTTGAAGGGCCATGTCAGCCAACCTTATGGGTCATACTAGAAGACTGTCTGATAGAGTGCTGGAAGATGAACCCCTAGGTTGGAAGGCACTCAGATTGTACACAGTGGCTGCATCCATGGGCTGGCGTGGACCAATGATTGTAAGATGATCCACGACCACGCATCCAGCATTTTCATTCAACAGTTGGCTCTGAGTTATGACAACTAACAACCAGAGGTGAGTGTAGGAGCTGCGGAGTGTGTGAGGCCATGCTCAGATCAAGACACCTTGAGGAGGACAAGGGAAGCCTTGTTGGCCAAAGATTCTGGGAAAGAACACACTAAACGCATAGCTTGGGAGCAGGGATTGTAACCGGAGACAAGAATCATTATGTATTTGATTTATAGCTAAACATAATTAAATTGGATATTGTGATCTAAACGTTATTGTGTTAATCATAAACTTTGGATGCATATGCTGCCTGGCTATGCTTCCTGCTGAAAAGTATACTTAAAGCAGTAGTGTAGATAATAAAGTCACTCACTCCCCCGCCACTTGCATTTTCTGTCCGTCCCGCAACCCTTTCATGCAGCGCTGGTTCCTGCAGCTGAGTATTTGCCCCAGTACACCCTTTAGGTCTGCAAACTGGAAGCATAGAAGAAACAACAGATATGCAAAAAAAATAAAATGAATTTTTATTACACAATTGGAAGCTGGGTCCAGCCCAGAACACACTTTTCCTTCTTGCTTTCCAATAGCGCCATCTGGTTGTTGAAATTTGCTGGCTGGAGCTGGGAGCAGTATGTTGTTGTTAAGTGCAGTAGAGTAGGTTCCAAGCCATAAGGACCCTGAACAGGGTTTCTGAGACTGTAAATCTTTACGGGAGCAGAAAGCCTCATCTTTCTCCAGTGGAGCAGCTGGTAATTTCAAACTGCTGACCTTGCAGTTTGTAGCCCAATTCGTAACCACTACACTACCAGCGAGAACTTCCAGCAGCAGCGAGACGTGTAGTGTGGAGCTCCAACAACAACACGGAATACTG